TCTACATTAACTGCGTGTCACATTTATTCTCATCCAATATTACTAAGAGATTTTAAAAATGCTATAAAAAACGAATACTTTACAGTGATTCTTATTTATGAATTTACATTTGTAAATAGTAGTTATAGGTACAACAGTGTTTATACTCGTATATACAGTATGTTATGTAACACAGGTTCCGTTGAACTCGTTAATATATCACTAATAGATTAAAATAAATATATCAGCATAGAAAAATAAGCATAAAATAATATGAATTAAAAATATAATTAATTCCCAATAAATTTTAAAGCTGTGCAAAATCAAAATAATGGCGTGGAATAGTAGGTAGGAATCTAGCGTAGAAACATTGCCCAAACTGGCAACTTCTCAATACGCACGACGCCGAGCGGCGACTTTTATAATGGCGGCATATTGAATTATAAAGACACGTAGTCGGACTGTTATCAGTAAAAATAAACATTTTAAATGTACCTATGTTTAGTTTTGTTTTTTTAATTGACTAATTATTATATTTTAACAATTTATGTATTATTAATTTTTTATTAACAATCTATGTATTATTTTTTAAATGAGTCATTGTTACTAAATAATAATAATATTTATTTGCTCCGAATGTAGGTACAGAATATAGGTGTATATAATAGAATCTAGTATAAGTTCCAGTACATCCTACCTTAAGGCATGCAAATGTTAGGCTTAAATTATAAATTCAAATGAACCATTAAATTAAAATTAGAAATTAATTAACAATTCAAATATTAGGCTTAAATTATAAATTAAAATTAACCATTAAATTAAAATTAGAAATTAAAATTAAAATTAAATGCGATTAATTATAAATTCATATTAATCATAATTAACAATGATAGGTAGATACATGATTAAGTTGTATATTTTATTTATTTTTTATTCATCAATTTATTACAATATTATGTTTCGTCCATTAGGTAATCATTTATTGAGTAATAACGTTTAACATTAACTTGAAAATAGAAATAAATAAATAAGTTAGCAATAACACTTAACCCGTCTCAAATGTATCGCTTACAAAGAAACGTGTCCCTGAGGTACCTATTCGCAAACAGTAATTTAAAAAAAACTAAATTCATGTAACTACATAACTAAGATCTAAGACACGTTTCAATAACATTTCAATTAAAATACAGAGAATTTGACAGCCCGGGCCAAGTATTGAATGCGTGGTGGTGGGGCGGCAGCGCCTTTGAGTTCTGCCGACATGTCGCGACACTATGGCGACGCATCGCCGTTTTCGCGCGCTCGTGGTCACAAAATAAACAAATACTAGTTAATACAGAAGTTCTACTCACGGAAACCTGGGCTCCTCCTCAAAATGCTTCAGCACATTCTCTTCCTGCCGCACTGAAATCACGGGTCGCGGGCCACCAGAACGACGCGGCACTACCGGCTCATTGTTACGCATACGCACCAGGGCCCTCACAATTACATTAGAATTCCGCGGTTGGTGTGCATCTGAGAGGTATCTCAGCATACATCCTCAGAGCACGTGCGCCGTCATAATTACACTCAGCAGAAATAAACATTTACATACTCCTGCGCACTAAACTGATAACGCGGCATCTTTCACACGAGGAGGACGCAATATGTAGTAATGCGAAAATAATGGACGTCAAATCCCGGTCAGCGCGTGAGATTACTACCGAATATAATTACCTATGCGGACGTTCGGGGGAAGGGGGGAGGGGGCGGGGCGACACTTTAATATTGTAGATCAATCGATCAATCGTCATTCATAAATAAATTGCGACGATGCTGTTCGTCAACTATGCGTGTACGGAGTCTTCCTTTTACGTGTCAATTTAACATTTATATTGTTTTCTTTTAATTAAAAAAATAAAAAAAACATTTTGTTTTCGATTGGAAATATATTTTTTAGCATGTATGGATGTTATATTATTGCGGATTAACGGAAACGCACTCTGTGAGTTAACATACTCTGTAATCTGTATATATATATATATATATATTAAAGTGTATTAATTTCATGCGTATTGGTATTATGAATAGTATTATATAAATGTATTTCTATTCTGATGAAGTAAGTATATCCCAAAAGAGAATAGATGTATATTTCTTAAAAGTATATTCTACAAGGTCAGAAATCAGTGTGAACCTTTATATTACAATGATACAGATGAAAAAAATATGTTTTAATATTATTAACAACCAAACCTTTTTATTTTTTTGAACAATTTAAAGCATTACCTTACGATACGACCTCAAGAATAACTTCGTAAAAGCAAAAAAAGTTGTCTTTCAAATATAATTTTATCATGCAACTTAAATAAATGCTTGTTCTTATAATAGTTATAATTGAATAAATTATATGTCACGAAAACAAAGTAATATAAATAAAAATAACTAAAAAATATTCTAATTTAGAAGGAAAGGAGATCAAAAGTATTTCATACAATTCTGGGCCCTAAATGTAAAGACATGAAAAAAGTATCAATTAAAGGTTTAAAATTAAGAGTTACTTCATTGAAAATTCTATAGAAATTGACAATCAAATCGCTGAGTTATTGGAGGTTTAGTAAAAGTGAGGTTATATTGCATTGTCTTTAAGAGTTAGATGAATACACGTAAAAGTATGTGAAAAATAATAATTTTATTTAGAAGAGAATATCTGATAAGTTATGACAAGGCAAGAAAGACTCAAAGACATACAAATATAGGTAACAAGTATGGAATTCTACGAGGAACAGGAGGAGTAAACTATGTGATAAAAGTCATAAAATAAAACAATTTTAATGGAATATGTATTTTATTCCCTTCAATAATAATTACAATATCGTCTAGGAACTATGCAGGGGGTACAATGTTACTAGTTGCTATCCCACAATTCACACAGCGACCAATCGTTTCAGTAATATCCAATCCATAAGCCGGCGAAATAATCCAAATGAACAATTCCAAGTCAAACGTGCAGGAGATCGTCGGTGTCCAATGTGAAAGCAAGGGTCGTAAAACGTAGGCGGTTTGGGAGTCCCTAAAAAACAAAGCAGTGGTCGTTGAAAACGTAAAATGATCGGGAAAGCACTCGAAACGTATTAAAAAACACGAAACAAGTCGGACTCAGATCACTTAGATAACAATGCATCTTGCATGGTAATTATTAAGTGTCAATGTCATGTTGCCATAGACTATATACTGAATGATTTCGATCGATATGGAATCGATAATCGAAAAGAATCTTTTAAAATAATATTTAATATTATTATTATATTAATACACGTTATTAAAAGTTATTTTTATTGAATTATAGACATATATGGTGTAGTTTAAATGAAGTTACTATAAGTTTAAAACTAGGAGTAAAGTTTTTATTTTGTAGTTAAACAATCGAATAATCGTTTTTATTTAATTAATCGTTAATCGATTGCTTCATTCGTGCATCCTAAAAACAGTTATTTGCATATTTCTCCGCTTGTAGATTCAGGATTTATTCAGATTTTTGGAATTTCATACAAAAAAAAAATTAAATCAATTTTGAACTCATTACATTTTGGACCCACCAGTTTCCATCTCCTTTAATTATATTTGTTAAATTATTGCTTAAAATTTATTTAATATTTTTATTTCTTGCAAGTTGCGACGGACAAACTTCTTATTAAATTGCAAACATCGAGTATGCGCGCTGCATCTATTGTTTGCGTCGTCCTCGCACCTGTAGCCCCGCTGCACCCCGCTAGTCGCCGCTGGTCAGCTGAGCGGACACTGCGCCTCAGTGTTGCCAGATGAGGCTATTTAGCGCCAATGGGGTTCCCTTACCGAGCTGCGATATCATTATATTCGCTAATATTTAATTAAAAAATAATTTTTATGCAGAAAAAAAAAGAATTTCAACACTCAGTTTCAATCAGTTTTATGTATATGGGATAGCATTTATTTTAAAACATTAACTGTCTCGCAATATATATATGTATATATAGGTACATAATTTTATATCAAATCCTAGTGACTTCACTACTAATGTGGGTTCGATGGTATGTTATTGTGTACTGGAAAAGGACCGGCTTACCTTTGTTCCTGTTGATTGTAATTTTTAATTTAATTTTGATTGTAATTACCTTATCGTATTCTTACAAAATAAGAAAATGGTTACTTATTACTTCTAAATTAAGTACTTTAACCTATTTTAGTATGTTAATTTTTTTTTAACTCAGTTCTATCAAAGGTTAATTTATTTAAAAATATGTATTAAAGAATATTTAATTACTCTTATTTTATAGTACTTATAACGATAATATTTTTTATTACTTAATTATTTAATAATACTTTTTAAAACAAAATGCAATCAATAAAAAGAAAAAAATCTTGATTCGAAAAAAAATAATTCTGGTAACACTGCTACGCCGTGCACTTCAGTGACTGACGAGTGACGGTCAGTCCGCATAAACTTTAGCTGTGTAATGCTTGTCCGCACGCGCACTCTCGCTTACGAAAATTTTAAATTAATCTCCTTCTGTATTAATAGCTTGTAAGTAGTTTCAATTGTTAAACCGTAATTCGCTAAACACATAATACCATTTGTGTTATATATTGTATATCTTAATAATATCTTTAATAGTGATAAGTATATTATAATTAGTCTGCCGACTTTATTAGTTTAATATCTCCGAAAAAGACTTACTGACTTGACGAAGGTAAAATTTACAATAAAATAATTATTTATTAATCGTTTGTAAAATGAGGTATATCTAATTAATATATAATATTTCTTAGTAAGTATACATTCGTATTAAAAAAAGAAGATAGTAATATTAATAATTATTACTAAAATAATGAATTCCAAAGATTTTTCTTGCAAGGATACACTTTTGTAGGATTATATATAGGTATGTATGTAGATAGATACTTATAAAAGTTATGTCCGTTTTATTATTGTCAATAGGAAATATTTTATTGCATTTCATTTGTTATTTTCTATAATATCATAAATTGTCTAGTGGATCGACATGGAAATCGAGCAAGACGTAATACGTCAACGACGATCTGGCGGAAGGCTGCGAACAGACGGCAAGGAAGTAGACGACCGGTCTAACAAGGGGGTGAAACAGAGATTTGAGGTAAAGAAGAAGTCATTGTCAAGTGATACTTTACAGAAGACACTCGGTGGAATTGAAATTTTGCAATGGATAGAAATAATTAAGATGAAAAACAATACTTGGAGACGGTCAGTGTCTAAAATCTAAATTATTAAATGTTTAAGAGACCAATTCATACTTATTTCTTTTCAGTTTAAGAATTAGCGATTGTTAATTAGCTATAAGTTTTACTCTAGAATAAGTCTTGTATTCTTCACAGGAGCTTCTTGCCCCTTCAACACACTTTACAGAATTTAACGAAGTACTCCTTCGTGGCAGAATATCATGGTCTTTCAATTACTAGTATAAAGTTCCCGATGATTTATTAAAAAAACTACAAAACGCTTGAGTGAAAATTATCACTGGAATTTTTTTGTCCGTTCCTACCTAATTTTCGTGGCTGTTAAGTTATTATTTAAGCATATATTTAATACTTTTTTTATTCACTTAAAGGATCGATGATATCCAGGACAACGCTTTAGTTCGTCGAGGAAAACCAAGAACACATTTGGTCTACGGTGTTCCCTTGACCGTAAACTGATCTGTTCAAGTAATGGCGGAGTCAATGAAAATAGACCTCGAGTTAGTACCAGATGCTTCGGTCTGATTATAACTATTAATTAATGTAACGTAGAATTAACAGATGTAACTTAAAATGTAAATTGTAGAACGAAACCCTTTCATAAAGTGTTGTTGAAAACTGTACAAAAAAATATGATACAATAATGTAGACTACGTATAGTAATTATGTGATTAATGTGAATAAGATCTATTTTTTACAGAAAGTCATTGGATTCGCGGATCAAATACACGAAATGTGGCAGGGACAAGGCACTGAGATTTATTGGAAGCAAAACTTCATTTGTCCAACTGAGGATCAATACAAAAAGATGACACATATGAGTAATATATAACTAAAACATTTTTCTAATCTCTATGTTTTTACAAATCGGTTCTATATTAATATCGTTACTATCAGAAGAACAAATATCTCACTGATAATATTTTACATTAAACAGACTTTATATTTCCAACAAATTTAAATTTATCGTAACAGTTTTAGAGAAATTTAATTGAAATGTGAATGTTTTTCCAATTAACGATGATCATTATATTTTTTATTCAGCTTCGAGATGACTATTGTAATCTTCGTGTTTTTGTGTTCCTAATATAATTGATTTATACAGGGTGACTGGTGAATTACTATCGATACTTGAGGACGTGATATTTGACGATCATATATGACAAAATAAAAATTAATATAACATAAATATTAATAAACTTCTAAGTAAAGTTAACCAAAAGTTGTGTAATTAATTACGCATCGTGTGTACACCCTACAGATTAGGTATATACACACAAACACACACACGTCGGCGGCGTAGTGTTGTATCAGCACGCCGCCGCACGCGTCCACACTAGGAACATTTGGAACGTATCCACACTTTATTTATTTATACGGAAATTTGGTCAAAAATTAAGTACCTATTTTTTTTACATAATTCGAATGAGAATCATGTACCGAGTATGCTCCTTAAATATTGATAGTAATTCACCAGTCACCCTGTATATATCATTTTCGAAAAAAAATATATCATACTAGCATTTCCCCCGCAGCTTTGCTCGCGTGGAGTTCGGTTAAATCACGTTTATAAGAGAACCTTTCAAAAGTCTAGGATAAAAAGTATCCTATGTTCTTTCTCAAGGACAAGACGACGACGAAACTTCTCAGCATTCCATGGATTCACCGTGCGGGTGCCGGGTCCATCGCGTTGCAGGGGGAGGAGCTTCAACAGTGCCTGGGACTTGCGACCCAAGTGTAGGTTTAAGGGGCCCCTTAACTAACGCGCGTTATACGCTCACCTCCACTGTCCAAGCTCCTCTCCCTACCTAACCAAATTTGAAAAGAACCTACTAGGGCTGCCTTCGATGTGCGTTCCAAGAAAGCATTAATGTGAGTTCTGGACAAGCCCAAGTCCTTCAGTAGGTTATAGAGAGATTTCGCTGTTATACCTCTCGCTCCCACCTCTACCGCGTACAAATCTACTACGAACCTATTTCGAGTGAGTTCGTTTGTGAGCTCGTAATATTTGTTGACCTTGATGGTATGGTCTTTGGGGATGTTGGTTTCCCAAGGGACCGTAAGCTCTATCATCACTACGCGCTTTAAAATTCGCGAAAACAAAAATATATCCGGTCTGGAGGCCGACGCACAAATATCCTCGGGGATTTTATATTGTTTTTTCATACGTGTCCATCATTATAGTCCAATCCGACGCCGCTTTAAGGATGGAGTAAGGCTTGACGTTTGATTTTGTAGCCCTAGTGCCTTCTCTCACAAAACCTACTGATCGTTCGTTTGTGGTTATTCCCTTTTGCGCTCTGGCTACCGAAAGACTAACCGCTTCACGTATGACTTCTAGAACCCTATCGTGACGACGCGAGTATTGACCGCTGTCAAGGAGTACCTTACATCCCACCAGCAGATGCTTAGCAGTTCCAACTGCCTTTCCACAGATATAGCAAGTTTTTTCGGTACTTTTACCCCATCTTACTAAATTACTCTGATCTGGGAGAGTCATCTGGAACCAAATTTCATGAAAATCTGTACCAAATTTCATGAAAATCAGTTCAGTGGTTAAGGCGTGAAAGCGTAACAGACCGACAGACAGAGTTACTTTCGCATTTATAATACTAGTAGGGATTCATTATGTGTATTACTATTCCAGTTAAACAGCAACGGCAGTTTCTGTGAAGATTTATCAGAAGGAAACATCACGTTACCCATCATACATGCATCAAAACATCAGTGGGAAGCGAAGTTTTACGTGAGTACACTAAACCTCAGTTACTATTTGTATACATACGAGAACGTATTTGTGTGGGTCAAACATAGCAGTTTTATGTAACCCTTCGATAAATATGCAATCATTATTCTTCATTATTTCATCAGGTTATTTCATAAACTTGATGAGTAACTTATCAATTTAAAATTTAGAGTTTTGAGAACTTCGTGTATTTTTTTTACTCTTTTCATGAGATCAGGTCCGCCTACGAAGTTTCTTCCTTGATCCTCTGTTCCTAATACTTTATTGATGTTAATTTTTGACATCATTTTTGGTGTTTAGGAAATAAGTATAAACATAACTAGATGGTAATTCAGTAATAGTAAAGTTTTTCGTGATCATATTTTTATTACTGTCAGGTATCTTAAGACAGCGTACCTGAAGAAATACTGTACGTCTTTGTTGGAGAAACAGACTCAGTGAACTTGATCGAGAAGCTCGGACTGAGGTGAATCAATTATTTTACCATAGTATTCATTGAAGTGTGATTGTTTTAAATTGAAGTATACAACCTAGGTTTCTTACAGGTCGCCCGTTTAGGCGGAAACCCACTACTGGAAAAATGTTTGAATGATCTTAGTAGCTGGAGGGATGACGTAATGATCAAATAATTATTACACTATTTTGTTACACGGGACACTATTAACCAATAATATTTAAAAGGTGTGGGGTACAAAGACTCGCAAGTCTTTAAAATATATTTTTGTTATATTGTTTATCCGATATTTTAAGACATGCATATAAAAGCATTTTTTGTGTTTTTTCTATTTCAACAAATTATTTTAATTTATTCAAGCTTTATAGATGTACAAGATTACAATTCTCCATAAATTTCCTATATAACAAGATTCTTCCCAATTTATAAAATGTAATTTATGAACGTTCTTGTTACAATAATAATCAAAGTGTTATAGATAAGAATTATATAGATAAGAATTTAATATAACACAAAAATACATTATTTTTTAAACAATTTATTCAAACATTTAACTTTTGTTAATAAAGTCCATAATTTTTAAATAATTGTACTATCTTATTAAGAATAGAGATAATGTCACCATTTTATATCATGAGTCTCAATATCCTAAGAAATTAATAAGTGAGTGTCTTATAACTTTAGAATCATAGTGAGTGATCACTTTTAGTCAAAATATATGAATTAGCTCTACGTCTTTCTTTTAATCGTTTATTTTATTTTTACCGTGTATGTGTTTAAATTTTATTCTAAGTTAGTCCTTTCAGTGTGATATGTAATATTTGTTTTTTGTATGGTAGAAATTGTTATATATGTATTGAAATTGTTATGTATGTAATTGAACAATGAAGTTTACTTAGTGATGGTCAACCAAAATCGTATCTGACTAGGATCATAGGATAGAACAATATCCCGAAATAATTTTTTTAAATCAAATTATAAAAATTTCGTTTAGAATCACATTTTGGAATTATTTTTTTTTAAACCTGTGCTATTTTTTGTTTACTGGAGCAAAACTTTTATTGAAATATGAATAATAAAAAAGTTTTCAACAACATTCTGTTTTAAAAAGTAACGAACAAATATCTGTGTAAAACAAAACAACATATTTTATGTTTTTCAATATGGATATCAGTTACAACATTTTTATGAGAAAACATTTGCATTATTTGAAGTCGTTCTGGTTTGAAACAGAAATTGCGACTGATTATAATTTTAGCTTAGCTAAATATAAATTATTGAACATTTTTCCTAACAATTCGAGAACTATGTTACTCATATTTTTGTAAACATATTTTTTTTGCTAAGTATGTAATGCAGACAACTTGATACACATAATGAAACAGTAACCGATTATCAGAATAGATATTATCTGACATGTAAAAACAATAAAATCTTCTATATATATAAAAATGGATTGCTGTTCCTTAGTCTCGCTAAAACTCGAGAACAGCTGAACGGATTTATCTTATCTTAGTCTTGAAATGTTCGTGGAGGTTCAGGGAAGGTATAAAAGCTGAAAAAAATTGATTCATTAGTGGGAAAACCATAAAAACAGCCCTTTTCTATTTCCCATACAAACGTTTTTTTTGACATTAGATTTGACAACTAACTAATATGTCAATCATTCTGTCGCACTTCAAAACATTGAGATTTATGGTTTACAGGTAAACTCCAAAAATATAAATAAAAAAACGTAATAGATATTTCTTGATTATTATAGGGCGATACGAAGTTCGCCAGGTCTTCTAGTGAATCAATAAAAATAGTTTGATAGGTTTCATGTCCTATTTGTAAAGACTGACATTGAAAATCACTGTTAAAAATATACCTTTACGTACATTGCGTCTTTTTTGGCATTCAAAGTACAAAAGGACAGAAACAATAACATTGTAGCGTGGGTCATACTTGTACAATAATATTTGCTACACACATAAACGTCGGATGCTTTGGTAATCATGAAATATTTTGAAATAGGTATTTATGGTTGCTTTGCTCATTATTGCTGTCAATTGTCATATTTTTCAAGTTAATAAGTTTTTATAATATCAATAAATAAGTAAAATAATATTTTATATGTGCTAGTAGGTATATAAATTATAATTATATCTATGTATTAAGCTGTAGTCCATCTCCTCCGAATTCTTACTTACTTCTTGGTCACGTTCCCTGCACACTGACGCTGACAAGAGAAAAGTTACAATCTATATATATAAAAGAAAGTCGTGTTAGTGACTGCACTTATAACCAAAGAACGGCTAAACCGATTTAGCTGAAAATTGGCAGGGAGGTAGTTTAGAACCAGGAAATTGCAATAGGATACTTATTATCCCGTTCGACAGCATTCCCGTGGGACTTGACATGAAACGTCAGTCACTATAAAACGTGGAATAACACAATTGACAGCTATGCAATTGACGTATAATGATAGATATGTAATGACGTATGGATGACAATTAGATATTTGTAAGAAATCTACTATATGAAAATAAAAATAATTAGGTATTGTGTTTGTAGTTTGAACTCTTAAAACCATTTAGTATTTGCGGGATAAATTTAGAAAATCATTGTTTTTCACATGGGCAGTTATATTTTGCGTGTTCACGAGTTTGGAAACCATACGCTTTATTTGTGTTAAAGTTAGACCAAAAAACAAAAAATGTGGTTTACAAAGGAGCACTTCAATGAAACGGATAATTTGCAGACACGTATAACGCTTCGATTCGGTATCTACTATGGATTCCTTTTCATTTACTTAGAGAAGTTCAACTAAATAACACTTCATTTTTGTAATCGAAATGAATTCATTACTGTTGTGAAATGAAATAAAAATTTTCCTTTTCAAATATAAAATAAAAAATTCTTCATCTTTTAATCACGAAACGAAATGTTATATAAAAGCCTTCTGGTGGCGAAACGGAGTTCGCCAGGTTTACTAGTTATTATAATACATATAAAAGACGAATGACGTCTAAGGACAGATATTATCTTTGATCTCTTTTGACGTGTTTCTTATTGAATGAAATATTACTTTTACATAAATTTTTATAGTAACAAATTAATTTATTTCGTGTTTTTCTTTATTTAAATAGTAACAAAAATTTTATTGTTACTTCTTTTAATTTAAAAATTGTGTAAAATCTTGTAAATTAGTTTAACTTCAATAATAAAAATAAAACTACTTAGGATCTTTTTAATATCTCTAAAGTAATTTTAAACAATATTCGGATTGAAATTGTAATAAAAATAGTATAACAACAAATAATAACAGGAGTATAACTAATTTGAATGACCTTATGTCTGCTAACGGTATAAGAAATGCCATCAAAAACAAAAGTTGTGTATAAAAGCCAAGTCCCGCTACACAGTTGTTCTGCCGTAAGAAGTTGTGAGATCTATGTAATACCATAATAATTATTAGCTATAAGTAATAACAACATCTTATGTATGACAGTATTCACTACAAAATGTCTACAATGTTCCCCACAACATATGTTAAAATCAGACCTTAGACTATGAATAAAGTGAGGAGAACTTTTACTTATATGAGGCACCTGGTACCTGAGAATTGATCTAAGGTATAAGCTAGCAGATATGTGTAAGTTTAGTGTACACACTAAGGTAGGATTCATAAAGTTATTCTTTATATAAGTACTAGGATTCTAATATCTAGTTTGATCCTGTTCCCGCGACAGTTTATAAATTGTGATCAGCGAACTAGAGAATGTAATTTAAAGTTGGTCAAAGGCGCGTGATGCTGTCAGCTGTGATGGACACTGAGACATGTGTTACAGACATTATATGTAGTATATATTAAATAATATTTGTTATAAGTGACTAAATAATAAAAATTACATACTAAGTACAAACATTAATCTAAATGTAGTCAAATACAAAGTTGAATATCTAAAAAGCTTTAAAGAGTATTTTGACGAAAGGTCGAGGTGTAAGGGAATATGGTATAAGACCATACAGAGTGAGCCCCCTCGTATTCCAAACTTTTATGACTCAGGCCTAACTCGTCAACAAGTTGTTATGGCTCTCAGGCTGCGTTCCGGACACATTCCTACAAATAATTTTGGATTTCTAATGACGAAATTAAATTCTCCGAATTGCGATATGTGAGGGATTCAGGATGACATACATCATTTTCTTGTGGAATGTGTTCGAAATGCTGCCAAAAGAAGAGAGCTAATACATATTTTTTTTTTTTTTTTTTTTTTTTATGTGAATGGTGGCAATCGAGCAGACGGCCCACTTG